AACACCCCCAGGTCCTTTTCCACCAGGCAGCTCTCCAGCCACTCCTCCCCCAGCCTGTAGCGTTGCATGGGGTTGTTGTGACCCAAGTGCAGGACCCGGCCCTGAGCCCTCTTGAATCTCATACAGTTGGCCTCGGCCCATCGATCCAGCCTGTTCAGGTCCTTCTGCAGAGCGTTCCTACCCTCCAGCAGATCAACACTCCCAACCAACTTGGTGTCATCTGCAAACTGGCTGAGGGTGCACTTGATCCCCTCACCCAGATCATCAATAAAGGTATTGAACAGGACTGGCCCCAATACTGAGCCCTGGGGAACACCACTTGTGACCAACTGCCACAGAAAGATGGGGACAGACTTTTTAGCAGGGCCAATACCGATAGGACAAGGGGTAATGGTTTTAAACTAAAAAGGGGTAGATTCAGACTAGATATAAGGAAGAAATTTTTTACAATGAGGGTAATGAAACACTGGAATGGGTTGCACAGAGCGGTGGTAGATGCCCCGTCCTTGGAAACATTCAAGGCCAGGCTGGATGGGCCTCTGAGCAACCTGATCTAGTTGTAGATATCCTTGCCAGTTGCAGGGGGGATGGACTAGATGACCTTTAAAGGTCCCTTCCATCCCAAAGCATTCTATGATTCTATGATTCTATGATTTTCTACCCTCAAAATCCACTTGAGGTGGAGGCTGTCATTCCTTCCCCTGTCCCATACACAGAAATGCACAGATATGCTTTGTGCAATGGCCTGCTGTTTGGTTCACCTCTCAAGAAGTGGATGTCCAGGACTCTCTGCCTGCTCCCAGTCCTAGGAAGGAGTCTGGTTCTCTATTGGGACTACAATGGAGCTAGGAGTCAGGAATGGTCCCTCAGCAGTTCAGGCATGCATCCAGCATGAAAGAGACCTGGTTCTCTACTCCCAGCTGCCTCAATTTTCTCATTTTTACCCTGATACTTGCCAACAGGGAAATGTGCTCTCTGTCGAAATGCAAGACACCACAAAGAGGTCCTGCAGATGCTTGCCTGCACATTTTCATTTTCTGTTGGTTTCCTTGGGCATTGCAAGATCTTGTTAGACCTAGGGTCTAAATGCCCCTTTTCTCTGTGAAATGAGCAACGGTGCATCTAAAAGTGATGTAGGTAGATGCTGGATGGAAGCACAGCTTTCTTCCTGATGAGAGTGAGCAGAGAATCACTGTTGTTACACTGGATGCAGTTGTGCAAATTTGCACATTTTAAAGGATTTGCAATCTGTAAAGGAAAGGCTATTTAAGGCAACTCTCAGTTCAGCAGATCAGAGTCACTGTCTCCTCAGCCTGCCATGCCATCTCCACTCCTACCCGTTGTACTCTGCTAGACCCACTGCTCAGTGCAGGAACTAGCTCCTGCTTCAAACACCAGCACATGCATGGCAGAGCTGGAAAGAGATACACTGTCACAAGTATTCAACATCAACACATACTCTGGCCTCCACTTTGTAATGTGCTTCTTGTTCTCCCCTCATTGCCAGCTGCTCTTTATTCCTCATTTTTTTCTGACTTGTATCTCGTTCAGTTACCATTCATCTCTCACGCAGAGCTCCTTCCGTCTTTCTGGTTTCTGAGAAAATCCTCCAAGGTTGTCTGGTCTTCCTGAAAATAGGGGACAGAAGTTATTTCAAAGCACAGAGCTATCAAAATACCAGCTTAGGCAGACATCTCTGTGTATGTTTTTCTTTTAACATACCATGACAGTGTTCATGTGTCTTTCATCCAGAGGCAACATGTAATGCATAAGCATAATCCAGCTCAGACAGCTGAGAGAGCACATAAGAATTCATGGCTGTACATGCCCAGTGTGCCTCTGCTGTTCAGATCAGGATCTAAATGAAGGAAAAAGTATTTGCCAATACTCACCTATCTCTTCCCCTCCAAAAAAAAATATAGTCATGATGCAGCCCTATGAAGTGCCCAACAGCTCTATGAAATTCTGGAGCCAAGAGGTGTAGGTGAAAGGAAGAGTAGAGAGACTGAGGAGAGAAAAAATGCATAATTGTGGGGTATCAGTGAAGCACCTAAACAGTGTGGTGTCTGTTGTAAATAGGTTCTCTTCTACGTCCTTTCCCTTAGCAAGAAAAATACATTATAACTTATACTTTTAAACAATTGCAAAATAAAAGCATGTGCTAAACATCAACACAAGCTAAACATTCAGCAATAGCCAAAGTTCAATGGGATCCCATAGTTAACTATGGAGATAAAAATAGCAAAACAAAGAGAATAAGAAGAAGATACTCATGGTCTGTATGCAAAGGATTCTACGGTCTTTATTCACTACACACTATTACAAAGGCTCATTGCAGAAGAAAGTGACCGAGAGGTTCACATTTTTGCAGCCCTCAGGTCACTTTGCTGCCTCATGACATCCTCACTCTTCCTCTTCTATCTTCTTGCCGTGAAACTCCCGGCTTTTGACTCGGAGCTTGTTGACCTGCGACTCTGCAATGTCAGCCCGCTCCTCGGCTTCCTCCAGCTCATGCTGGATCTTGCGGAACTTGGAGAGGTTGACATTGGACAGCTCCTCCTGTGTGGGGAGAGGGTGGTGAGGAGCCCAGGGCAGGGGTTTCACTCCTCCTGCGCCTCGGCCTTGCGGGGCTGTGGCTCTTCCCTGGGGGAAGGCACAAACCTCCATCCCCCACCCACCACTGCTTACACATAAGCCTCACACAGACCTCCCATCTTCCCTCATTCAGGACTCCACTGTGAAGAGCTTCCCCAGTAGCGTGACACTCTTGAGGAGCTATTTTGTCACTGGGATTTGTCATTGGTGTACTTAGTCTCCCACTACTTGCTGCCCAGCTATCAGCGTAACTTATTAGGTTGAGAAAGACCCTGAAGCCTTCTGCTGTAGATTAGTGAGATTCATGAACTTCTCAGTCAGTGGATGTGGCCCCCGAGTTTCTTTAGTCTCACCTCCTGTATAAAACAGGCTGCAGACCTTCCCTCAGTTCATCCC